TGCTCGACAAGTCTTCTTCCTTATCCATGTTCAGAGAAAATTCGTTGTCAACCGGTGCATGCGCAAACGAAATGGGCAACAAAATCGCATCGACCCAAAATTTTGGCAAGTGAACACATAAGTCAAAAATTTCTCGGAAATTATCGGCTGTCTTCTCGCATCACCCGGAGTTGTAGTCCCACACAGGCCGGAGGCAGCCATAGGGCGTCAGATGATGAAACCAAAGGACCCACCGCAACGGCAAGAGACATCTGGAGTCATCTATAGAATCTGGTGCAGTTGCGGACAAGGCAACTACGTTGGAGAAACTGAAGGACTTCTGAAGACGCGAACTGCCAAACACGCGGCAGCAGTGCGGAGAAATGAAGCCACTTCTTGGATGAGACCCGGCCACATATTCGACTTTGATGAGGCCGAAATGTTCACGAGGGGTGACACTCGTGTGAGCCGTGGACTACTTGACTCATGGTTCACGAGCACCAAGTCTATAAACAATTTGGTCAAAGCAAGTCGCTACTTGGGGAACACACAGGCCAACGCGTCATCCAACGCCAACGCCGGGAAACCAAATGGCCGAATAGTCATCACGTCCAATTCCATCACGTGTAATGCAATTTCAGAAGGTCACGGCCTGCACGTCGGTTATTAAGCCCTTAGCGCACAAGCGGTCAATTATCCTCGATAGGGAAGTCGTTAATTGCCATAATTGTGCAATATTATAATGACTATATCCTTTGAATACTGCAACTCTCTGTGTATGAACTATCCGGTTCTGCTACTGTTTATGCTAATGTCTCTGATGAATAATCCTTCGAATGGTCAGGAGAATAAAAGTCTTGTCCCAGTAATCGTATCTTTTTCTTCCCCTCCTCCTCCTCAGTATCACAGCGTGGTAGGAGTCTCGTTGTTACTGCAGATAGAGCCTGGTAACCATCTTCAAGGATAAAGTGGGCGTGGTTTTCAGATGTCTTTGAGAATTTTCAATAAAGTCATAATAAAAAGTCATATTGGCAAACAATTGTTTTCGGTCATTCATCATCAGGCCGATACATGACATGG